TCCCATGTTGGTTTATCACTGTAGTTTAGGTAAAGTTTGATTTCTCCTCGTCAGCTTTGTAAACAGTCAGTCAGTTCGCCTGAGCAGACGGCAGACAGCCTGCTAGCACCACGTCGGTGCTAGCGTGTAGCCCACCGAGCTGCTAAACCGGTTAGGTAACAGCCGTTCACTGGATTAGGTGTAAATGACTTATTCCGTGTGATAAAACCTTGTCTAATATGAATCAGCTTCTCTCGGTGTCGTGCATGTTTAGTCTAAAAGATAGTGTATATGTTGTGTGTCATGTAGCGCTAAGGCAAGGTGCTAAAGTTGAACTGAGCAGCGAACAGGTGCACAAGTACAGGAGGTACAAGTGTGTAACATAAATACAAATAGTTTACACATTTACATAATTAGAATTTACATTTTCTAGTATAAGATAAAAAAATTGTAAAAATACGTTAGTGAACAGTGCAACAATATAAGTGCCTGTGATCAAGGTGACGTGAAGAGGTTCTAGTAATAGTAGTATAGTAGTAATAATAATAGTAATAATAGTAGTAGTAAGGCAGGTGTTTAGGTGCCAGGGTATTTTCTGTTTGAAGTACTTCATCATATGATACTTCATGTTTCCTCATAGTTCTTTTAATTATTGTTTTTTCTCGATTAGATTTATCTGACAGCTGTATATACTCTGCAGATGAAGATTCTTTTTTTTTTTTAGAAAAAGTGAAATATATGGAATCAACAAATCTAATATAATTCATTGCTGCAGCTCAAACTACACAGTAAATATAATACGTTTAATGAACTTCACTTGAAAGCAGCTTCAACATTAAAGGAGTGTTTACTTGTTATCAACTCTGTTAATTTTCCAGTTGTGAAATAACGTCTCAGAATAAGTTTCTTTATTTAAAAGACAGTTGAAGGACATTTCGTCGCTTTTTGAATGCACTTGTAATCAAACATGAAAATAGTGAGAATAGTTTTGTCCGAATGCACATTATTGTTTGGGTGAATTATTGTTGTAACTTGCAAACTAATTAGTTTGGGATCAGAATAAAGTAGTTTTGATAGTTATTGTCATTGTGAAGATAAAAACAAAAGGAAGTAAATCATTCTTTATCTCCTGTTGGGTTTTCCGCTGTATGTAGCAGTGCTGGTTGTACTAATTTTAGTGTGTGCTGTTAGAGTTCTAGATATCATACCAGGGGAAAGTTGACCTTCCTCTTTGTATCCCAGCCCAGTGATTGTCAGTCATGGGTCTGCGGGAGTTCTGGCATGGCTACAAAGTGTTGATTGTGATGGGCACGAGTCTGGGACTGATCCACTGGGGCTGGTACAATCTGAAGGGAAGCCCGCCTCTGCACAACCCAGAAGAGGCCGATATTTCTGAGCCCGGTGTTGTTGCACACGTTACACATCCTGCAGCTCCTCTCAAGGCTCCTGCTGCCAAGAGCAACTAAACCACACCGAGGTATGAAGCCGTTTCTCTGGCAGCACACAGGGTGACGTGTTCCTCCTCTGCCAGGTTGTGATTAAAACCTCAATGTTTTTTTTTCTAAAGTCTGTGTCCTAAACAATTGTTGATTGTTGTTCTGAGGCTGAGCAACTTCCACTTTCACACAGATGGCCTGCTTCTGTCAGGACCCAAACATCCCTGCTTCTGCTGCCGGTGAAAATCAGCTGGCAGATTCATCTGCAGTTTCATCAGATTGTGCTGCTGTGGAAATAGCTTGGGTGGTACTGATGATGGAGGACGGTGAAAGAGCCAAAACCCTTTGTAAAGCCATGGCTGTGTTTGAAAGTGACCTGACGAGCAGATCGGGTTGAGACTGTACAGTTAACCTGCAAACATGGTTGAGGATCTTTCATTTACTGACAATGTGTCAGTCGGGCTCGATCATTTCATGTCATCAGTGTAGTTGCACTGGGAATACTTTTATCAAAAGGAAGTAACGGCAGATCAAATGTAATGACGAAGAAAAACTAAATTAAAATCTAAAGTGAGGTTAGTCACTGACACCAGTGTCTTTGAAAGCCTCAGCGACGTTTTAACAGAAGTTCAGACAGGAAGACGTCAGTCATCAATGACACCTCTTTTCCTATCCAATCAGTGCACGGCATTCAGCGCACAGGCATGCCATGAGCATCTTAACCGAGCATATCTACCTGCGTTGTTGCTTGGCGGTCATTCAGTTCACACCGCCCTGCAGCTCACATCCTCTGGGTTCATTTGTCATCATGAGATGTGTCTGTTTTTCTTTGGCAAATACTTCTCAAGTATCTCTCAATGCTACTGTGATTCGCCCTGGGTTTGAGATGTCTGTGCTGTTGAGCAGAACTTCAGTAACGTTAGTGTGTCTTGCTCCCCCTGCAGAGCTGAGATGAAGCCTCAGAGCTGGCTCAGGAGGAACTGGCTGTGGGCAGCTGGGGGGGCCTTCCTCACCATCCACCTGGCCACCTGGCTGATGCAGAGAGCCATGAAGAACGCCGTCCGCTCGGAGGCTGGGCTCAAACAGAAAGCTGCTGACAAAAACTTGGACTGATACTTATCCTGGTCACTGATGGAAGGACAGAAGGAGTTTGTATCTAACACAGCGGAGACAGCACGACGAATTCACCGACAAATATCCAGTTGATCTTTCTGATTCTGATGTAGAGTATTAAATTGGGTCACATGGCTGCAGTGATGATCTGCAGTGTGAGGCGGTTTTCATGTTTCATTGTTAGATTTAAAGGTGGATTGTTGATTGATTCAAGTAAATCAATAAACCAATAACATGATTAAAATATTAAAGTAGTTTATTACCTGTGTTGACCAGCTGAGGGCAAATAAAGCAGTTTCCAGCTACACGCTCCCATTAAATGGTGGCCATAACTCGGTAAAACACAAACTTGCTGATGGAGTTGTGAACGTTGTTGCCACAATATTCACTCTCTCAGCTTCACAGTTTGAAATTTAAGATACAGTATTATGAGAAATTCTTTTTTTTTTTTCTCAACAAAGTCCATGAAAAGCCCCAAACACACACTGAAGTAGTCATCTACCACATTCACACCTGGCAGCTGCCCAGTACAACCACAGACTGACCTAGAGCAGGTCTCTGCTGAGCTGTGATACTGACCTCTGCTGGACTCGGGCAGGAAACACATCAGACTTGTACAAACCTCAGACTCTGAGGCGAGGACTCGGGTTTCAAATTAAAACTCTTCCACAAACAGTTTCTTCTTCAGCCAGGATTTACCTGCAGTGATACTGTACAGCAGAGGAGTTTCATTCAGCACTAAATGTGTTTCCATTCACTTCTCAGTGTGTTTCAGTCACTGACATGTGTCAACAGCTTCTGTCTTTTCTGGACGAGGCTGAAGGCTCAGTGCTGGACTCAGAGACTCACTGCAAACATCCCATTGTGGATTTGTTAGAAAACTAGAGAATACTGGCAGAATGAAGTAAGTTACTGTGACACGGGCCGTCACCACCAGAAACGGCCAAGGGGTCAAAGCCGACTGACACTTTGGTTCCCTGGCAGACAACTCCCTGGTGATACCTAATGTTAAGGACAGTGATACTACAACGTTTATCTGAATGTGACCACAGATGCACGGTGGATCCTCCAGCTCAGCTTGAAGGCAAAACAATGGTCACACCAAGAAACAGGGGCCATAGTGCTGCAGTCACAGAGAACCAGCAGGCCCTGGACTGGTGCAAAGTACCTGTGGGTGTAGTCACAGGTGATGCTGGCCATGTTAACCCTGAGGCTTGCTCCAAACACAGGGCGAAGAGAAAGAGCAGAGCAGCTGAGCCTCTTACCGATGTGATCTACCAGGGGGTCAAAGACGTCGACTTGCAGCCAGGCTGAGCAGTGTTGCCAACTTGGCGACTTTTTGTCAAATGTGACTAGCGACAAATGTAGTTAGTTTTACTGGTGTTACTGGAGACTTTTCTGGTGTTTTGGAGACTGACGTGAAAGCACGTGTCACTCTACAGTTACTGTCCTCAACGTGAGCCCCCCCCCCAACCCAAAGCTCTCACAGTAGCCTCGCACGGCGGTCCCAGCTGCAGTCAGAGCAGAGAGGAGACCCAGACCGCTCTGCGTCCAGACTGGTAATCAAATCATCATTTGTAGTTCTAAATGTATTTAGGGTGTTTGTTTTTTTAACTCACTTTGTCTCTCCCATGAAGTTATTCCTCTCTTCTACAGTGTCCATCACAATTACATGCAAATTAGGCGATGACGTCATTTAGCGACTTGTAGGACAGCCAAGAGCTACTTTCCTGAGGAGTTGGTAACAGTGAGGCAGAGAACCTGATGGTGAAAGTCTGCACTACTGGTCAAGCATCATGGAAACGCCAAGCCCAGGTCATTTGGTGGACACATGGGACACAATTACTGGGATCCTTGCAGCTTTCTGGTCCAGTAGGTCACAGTTTACTTACACAAAACACTGGATAGCAAAATATGGCAGTGTTGCGTCAGGAAGGGCATCCGGCATAAAAACATGCCAGGTTGGACGGGCCCTTGTTGATTTTCCCTTTATTTACTTGGAGCCCATGTTGACATGTACCAACATGACGGACACGATATAAAAACACTGTTTTATTTTACAAAGAGTTGAACATGTCATCTTCAGTTTAAAACTCCAAAATATTCTGTTTGCAATTATATCGAACAAAATTCGCTCATTTAAGAAGCTACAACCAGAGAATGTGGTGTTTTGGTTCAGAACAATAATGGACTTGGTTCATTTCAGGACAAACTCAGATGGAGACAGGAAGTGGACGACGCCTCATTATGGACTGTGTGTAGTGAGCAGTGGGGGAAGTGGGTTGTGGTGTCCCGTAGCGCCCCCTGCTGTTCACTCCTCCGCTTTACCCTGTCTGCTACTTCTCATCTGTGGGCTGATGGAGCATCACTAGGGCGTGTGAAGAACGGACACTGCCATCAGCCACACATTGTACGTGTGCTGCTTGTAAACACACAAGTCTCCAGAGCAGAGGTTTCCACTGACATCAGCATCGGCACAGTGCGACGACGCCGTTTGAAACAGTTCTTAGTTTGGAGATGTGTCGGTGGTAACCCGCCTCGAAAGGGCACAGAAACCCCCAGAACTCAGACAGGTTGGAAAACAACCTTTATAGCTTTATAGTTAAACTTTATGATGAACCTTCATTTTCCTCCAGGCAGCTTTTATTTTGACAGTAGAAGTTCATTCCTAACTTTATTAAAGCAGTTTGACAGAATAACTCGGGGCCTACCTACAAGCTCTTTCCTGATCTTTCAGCCTCCCTCCACATTTAGAGCCGTTGAGTCGAAACAATTGTGTCAAATGACTGTGTCAAACTAAGAAAACGTCAACTGAACAAGTCAAAGAGAAGCTGGAGCTCAGACATTCAGCTGCACCGATGCATTAAAGACCCAACAGGCTCCCTCCGTCTCCCGACAGGCTCTTATTCGGGCCAGTCAGGTCCTGAACGTCTCATGCGGCCTCCTTGCTCTGCGGCTGCGTCGGCAGCTTCCTGCGGTCCTTCACCGCGTTCCTCTTCCTCTTCTTGCTCAGGAAGTTCTCCAGCTTGCCGCTCTTCTTCAGCTCCTGGTATTTCTCAGCCAGCTGCAGCTTCTTCTTCTCGGCTGCAGAACAGAAAAGGAGAGTTGAGCCAAACAAAGCAAATGTCCACACAGTTGATTCTTTGCATCTCAGAGATTTTTTCAGGATTCCCCTGAAAAAGACAAACGGCCGAACACATATTCGGTCTGCCCGGTACAGACACTGGTGGGGGCCGAAATCACAGAAATCCCATCTTTAACATGGGGCAACATTTAAAAAAATTCATGTCTCCGTCCAAAGTTTTCAAAGTCCTTTAAAACTGGACACGTGTCTGTCACCAGAGCTAATTTCATCTCAATCAGGACTTCAGGACACATTTTGTGTTGGATCTCGTTTTTCATGAAGGACCTATTTGCGTGAGCCAACGTGGTGCCTTGGTGGAGGGACTTATGAACCGCATCTAGCTGCCTCGGTCTTTGGCTACTACTAAAATAAAAGATTTAGGAATAAATCATTTTATTTAAAACCTCCACTTTACAAAAGACTGTTCCTCTTTTGCTCCACAGAGACTGAATGCGATTCTTTGCCTTTCGTTGCCGTCGGCCTGTTAAAGGTCTGGCTGCAACGAGCGATGTAGTGGTTCATCCTGATGTTTCATTGTGTCTGTTTTATATTTTTCTGTTAATCTTAGTGAAAAGCTGTCAGTGTCAGCAGTTGAACGCGTCGTCTACTAGTAGCTCCCAACCCTCAAACGTTTGCAGCGAGAAAAGCAGTTGAGCTGAAACCGGAGAACATTTGGTGACTCAGAGTGTGGACGGACTCATGAAGTCCTTGACACAAATTAAAATGAAAACTTTAAGGGCCAGGTGTGCAGTGGTTAGGTTCAGCCTGCGGCGAACTGGGGCCTCCGCCCCCCCCACCGCCCAGTCGGTCTGAGTGGCTGTACCGACCCGGTGACACACTGGCTTCTACATCCTACAAACCCGACTTTCAGTGTTACTTACATTCCTTGAGGAAGAACGGCCGTGCGCCCTGATTGGCTCGCTCTCTCTGCTGCCTCTTGAACTGCAGCTCTCTCGCCCTCTGCTGCTCTCGGCTTTTGCTCGCTTGCTCCTGGTTCTCCTGCAGAAAGGTCACAGTGCAAACTGTGAAAGCGATTTAACAGTCACTGTGCATAATTACACATTGACTGTTGACTAATGCACATGCTGCTCCCATGCAGCACACATTCTCTTATTATAGTCTTATATATTTTTATTATATTGCTGCATTTGCTGCTTAAAGTGCCTTAGATTTTGTGTTACTTATTTATCTACTTTGTATTTCATTTGTATTTTGTGGCTGCTGCTGTAAATCCAACACTCATTCAGGAGGTGTCGCCCTTCCCTTTACTGTGAAAACCTGGCATGAAGTGCACGGACCACGTGCAGACACGACCTTGTTAGGATGCTGTGGAAATAAAGGTTGTGACAGACACACACACCTGTTCCTCCCGTTTCTGTCTGTGGTTTAGGAGCTGGAAGATCGTGACAGACACACACACCTGTTCCTCCCATTTCTGTCTGCGGTTTAGGAGCTGGAAGATCTTTTAGTGAAATGTGACGTGTACAAAACCAAACAGCAGCTACAATCACATTCTGCTAAGACTCACACTGGACATCTCTGTGGTATTTCGTTTACCAATCCGGTCAACATGTAATTAGCCATCAGGAGAAATGTACGTTCTATTTATTTTTCTCCAGAAGCTGAGAGACTCTGGCACTGAAAGGACAGTAACAATAACTCGCTGCACTTCCTCTTGCAGTGCCGACGTTCTTGAGATTTCACAGAGATGACGGATAAGAATCTGGATGAGGATTAAGGGCAGCTGAGAGTGTGTGTGTTAAAGTGAGAACAGAGGTGATCGGTCGTTTCAGCAAAGGTCTTTGATTGGAAACTGGATTTTAGCATCTGTTTCTTTAGTAAGGACCTGACTCAATGCCCTGGTCATCATGGTGAAGGTGGGTGACTCACCATCCGCTTCAGAAGAAACTGCAGTTTCTCCTTCCTCTGGTTGTTCCTCTTCATCCTCTTCAACTTCTTTGCAATGATCTGCAGACAAACGAGAGAGAAACCGACGGATACTTGATACTTTAGTCATCCTGAGGGAGATTCAGGTATCCAGTAGCAAGTTACCAAATCACAGCAATATAAAGAAACGTATAAAAGTGTACGACTGAAATATAAGTGAAAAATTATTTTAGAAATATAAGAAATGAGTGTAAAAACAAGAGTATAGGAAATGTATATAAATACATATTGAGTAGCATGCCACAGTCCACAAATATGAGCAGGACTGAAGATGACAACACAGTGACTCAAAGCAGGTTTACAACTCGGACTCGTCAGAGGACGAGATTGTGCAGAGCGGGTGGGGGAGGGGGGGCTCTTTCACCTCTTTCTCCCTGTGTTTGATGTCGCTGATGAATTTATACGTCTTCTCAAAGATCTCAGGTTTGTACTCTCCAGATAGGTCGTCGAACCGCGGATCTCGTAGCGCCTGAAGTGCAGACAAACAGAAATGGAGCCGTGTGAAGTGACTCGCCACAGAGAAAGGTCTTGCTGTGAACACACTCAGTGCCACAGGCTGCAGTCACTCACCAGTTTCTTGGCGGGGACGACCTGCCGGAGGAATGGAGCCGGTTTCTTGGCCGAAATCTCCACAGGCCTGAAATCACAAACACACTGTAAACACCCGGAAACGCTGAGGGATGGTTACAAGGCATGGCGGCTGGGGGGGGAGGG